AAGCCTACAGCACCCGGTATTCCCAGGCGGTCTCCCATCCAAGTACTAACCAGGCCCGACCCTGCTTAGCTTCTGAGATCAGACGAGATCGGGCACGTTCAGGGTGGTATGGCCGTAGACCATTGCTTTCTTAAAATGCTTTGATTTCTTGGTTTACCTAATCTTGGCTCCATGACTCAACTTCTCACCTTTAAAATATAGGCATTGCTTCAGACCTCCTTAATTACTTTTGTAATTTGCTGTTTTCTATTTATCCTCAAGGATAAGTAGTCCTAACCTCTTAGCAATTTTGCCATAATACTCCCAATGGTCTACTACTCACTTCTTTAGCTGGAAACAGCACTGTCTTCCCTCCCTGTGTTCAAACAACTCTCAGATCCTGTACTGTATTATCTGGCATTTTTCTCCATTCCTACTACTACCGCCTTAACTTAAACTCTAGTTTTCTCTGTTTTGGTATATGTGATAACAATGCATTAGTTAAGAACCCAAACTCTGGAGATAGAGTATCTAGGTTTGATTTTTGGCACATCACTTAGAGCTGTGTAATCTTGTGCAAGTTACATAGGTCTCTGTGTCTTAATATCCACATACTAAGGATCTAGTAATCTAGAATACTTAGTATATGGGTACTAGGTACTAAGAATCTAGTAATGAGGATAATAGTCTATAAATAAGAAAAATGTACGTATCTACCAGGTACTCTGCTTGGCACATAGCAACGGCTATGTAAGTGGTAGCTATTACCATTATAATCTTTGTTTTGTTGTGAGACAGAGTCTCGCTGTGTTGCCTAAGCTGGAGTGTAATGGCATGATTTTGGCTCACTGCAACCTCTACCTCCTGGGTTCAGGCAACTCTCCTGCCTCAGCTTCCCGAGTAGCTTGGATTATAGGCGCACACCACCACACCCCACTAATTTTTGTATTTTTAGTAGAGACAGGGTTTCATCTTGTTGGCCAGGTGAAACTGGTCTCGAACTCTGGACCTCAAGTGATCCACCTGCCACAGCTTCCCGAAGTGATAGGATTATAGGCCTGAGTCACCATAACCAGCCTACTGTTATAATCTTTTTAAACTGGTCTTCTGAGCTCTAGATTTGTAACTATAATCCATCCTAAAAAGTGTCTCATCAGATCCCTGCTCTAGCCCTTCACTGTTTCCCAAATAAAGCTGTAACTTCTAAACCTAAAATCAAGGGCCCTTTCTTGCTTATGACTAAATACAGAGCTGCCAGGTCACCCAACTCCAGGGAGCATCATTCATTGTCACACCCAAAAACTCCCTATCTATGCTTGATGATACTTCATTAAGCTGTATACTTTTCATTTTTCTGTATTGTGTTATGCTTTAAATTTTAAAAATCTCCTGTATGTTATACATATTGGTGTTGAGTTCTGAGTATCTTTCCAGACTTTTGAATCAACATACAATTTTTTAAACACTATCTTATACATACTGCAGCATGTTTTATTTTACCTAACATATGGAAGAATAAAAATGTAGGTAAACAACCCAAAAGTAGGCTGGGTGCAGTGGTTCAGGCCTGTAATCCCAGCACTTTGGGAGGCTGAGGTGGGTGGATCACCTGAGGCCAGGAGTTTGAGACCAGTCTGGCCAACATGGCAAAACCCCATCTCTACTAAAAATACAAAATTAGCTGGGTGTGGTGGTGGGCACCTGTAATCGGGAGATGCTTACAGTTACTCGGGAGGCTGAGGCAGGACAATCACTTAAACCCATGAGGCAGAGGCTGCAGTAAGCCAAGATCATGCCATTGCATTCCAGCCTGGGCAACAAGAGCAAAACTTTGTCTCAAAAGAAAAAAAAATAAAACAAAAAGAACCAAAAGTAATATATGATCATCACCAATTAAAAAAAAACCAACAACACCCTACTCTCCATCCTTAAGTGACCCTTCAGCATGAGAAACAACCCTATTTTACAGAAACCGAAGAACCTCAGACCTATGAAAGTACAGGAACAGAAAATGGCTACTCCGATTCTGGAAGAAAAAGAAACTACAGAAAAGGTATCCAAAGCCATAAAGTTGGTAGGATAAAATAAAAGTTTTAAAAAAACTTAGAACACCACCACCACATAATTCAGGGAACGTATACAAGTCAGAAAAAAACAAAAACACAAATCCATAAGCCCAGATGAATGAGAGCATATTCCAAATGTAAAAATATAATGTAGTTAATAAATAGATGACTATAGGTAACTTCAGAACTTGAAAATAAGGTCAGCCTGATCAGAGATAATGTAAGGAGAAGGAAAATAAAAGGTCAGCCTGAAATTAGACTACAAAAAATTCAAATCAATGAATCAATATGAATAAATGTAACCACCCATAAAAGTAACCTATCCTAAGAAATGCTCTGTCAATAAATAAGTGGCTGGGGAGGCTAGAAAAATATCCAAATATAATCAGGGTGATCAGGGAGTAAAGTCTCTAAAATTCATGATTGATATAAACAGCAAGGTGTAATCCAATCAAACGTGTTGAATATAGGCATAAAATCCCGGCACTCTGAGAGGCCAAGGTGGGTGGATCACCTGAGGTCAGGAGTTTGAGACCAGCCTGACCAACATTGAGAAACCCCGCCTCTACTAAAAATACAAAAATTAGCCGGGTGTGGTGGTGGCCGCCTGTAATCCCAGCTACTTTGGAGGCTGAGGCAGGAGAATCGCTTGAACCTGGGAGGCAGAGGTTGCAGTGAGCTGAGATTGTGCCACTGCACCCCACCCCAAAGTGGGACTTTGTCTCAAAAAAAAAAAAAAAAAAAAAAATGTCGGAAGGTATAAGTGCTACGAAAATGCAAAACAGAATAAAGGGGCATGTCAGGTAAGTGGTATGTAATTTTAAATATGGAGCTTATAGTAAGCATCGTTGCAAAGGTGAAATTTTAGCAAAGACTTGAAGAAGGCTTCTAAATTTGAATCATAGTCACAGCTTAATATAAGGTGAATTTGGCAAGTTATTCAAGTGCCTCGGTTTTCTCACATATATTTAAAAAAAGATAATTTTATCTACCACATAAGGTTATAAGGACTGAGTTATTTGTACAATTTCTGGACCACACTAAAGTACCATAGCTCCTGAGGTTTTTTTTTTTTTTTTTAATTTAAAATAATGTAAGGTATAAATAAATAGAAGACTGGGTCATGTAGATATCCAGATGATATTCCCAGCAGAGGTACAGCAGATGGAAAGGCCCTGGTATTAAAGGAGTAGCTATGCTAGTGTGGCTGGAATAGAGTAGGTTTTTTTTTTTTTTTTTTTTTTTTTGGCGGGGTTTTTGCTTTTGTTGCCGTGGTGGGGCGGGATCTCGGCTCACCGAAACCTCCGTCTCCTGGGTTCAGGCAATTCTCCTGCCTCAGCCTCCTGAGTAGCTGGGATTACAGGCACGCGCCACCATGCCCAGCTAATTTTTTGTAGTTTTAGTAGAGACGGGGTTTCACCGTGTTGACCAGGATGGTCTAGATCTCTTGACCTCGTGATCCACCTGCCTCGGCCTCCCAAAGTGCTGGGATTACAGGCGTGAGCCACCGCGCCCGGCCTAGAGTAGGTTTTATAAAGGGCTGGGAGATGTCTTTACAGAGATAAAGGAGGTAGGAATCCTTAGGGCTGCTCCCAAATTTATAGACTTTTACTTAGATAGGGAATTCAAGAGGATTTTGAGTAATCAACTGTTTTGACTTTTTTTTTTTTTTTTTTGAGACAGAGGTTCGCTCTTGTTACCCAGGCTGGAGTGCAATGGCACGATCTTGGCTCACCGCAACCTCCGCCTCCCGGGTTCAGGCAATTCTCCTGCCTCAGCCTCCTGAGTAGCTGGGATTACAGGCACGCGCCACCATGCCCAGCTAATTTTTTGTAGTTTTAGTAGAGACGGGGTTTCACCGTGTTGACCAGGATGGTCTAGATCTCTTGACCTCGTGATCCACCTGCCTCGGCCTCCCAAAGTGCTGGGATTACAGGCTTGAGCCACCGCGCCCGGCTGTTTTGACTTTTTAAAAGACTGACTGCATTAAGAACTGACTATTGGTGGGTGTGGTGGTTCACACCTCTAATCCCAGCACTTTGGGAGGCTGAAACTGAAGGACTGCTTGAGTCCAGGGGTTCGAGACCAGCCTGAGCAACACAGTGAGACACCATCTCTACAGACAAATTAAAAATGAGGCTAGGCGCAGTGGCTTATGCCTGTAATCCCAGCACTTTGGGAGGCCGAGGCGGGTGCATAACCTGAAGTCAAGAGTTTGAGACCAGCCTGACCAATATGATGAAACCTCATCTGTACTAAAATTACAAAAATTAGCTGGGCATGGTGGCGTGTGACTGTGGTCCCAGCTACTCGGGAGGCTGAGGCAGGAGAATCGCTGGAACCTGGGAGGCGGAGGTTGCAGTGAGACAAGATCGAGCCACAACACTCCAGCCTGGGTGAGAGGGGAGACTCCATCTAAAAGAAAAAACAACATAAGCTGGGTGTGGTGGTGTGTAACTCTAGTCCCAGCTACTTAGGAGGCTGAAGTGGGAGGATCACTTGATCCTGGGAGGCTGAGGTGACAGTGAGCTGTGATGGTGCCACTGCATTCCAACCTGGGTGACAGAGCAAGACTCTGTCTCAAAAATAAATAAATAAATAGAACTGACTGTTGAAGGAGGGCAGAGCATCATACATATATATGATCAGCCAAGGTGGGTTGATCACCTGAGACTGGGAGTTTGAGACCAGCCTGGCCAACACAGTGAAACACTGTCTCTACAAAAAAATACAAAAATTAGCCAGGCATGGTTGTGCCTGCCTGTAATCCCAGCTACTCAGGAGGCTGAGGCAGGAGACTCGCTTGAACCCAGAAGGTGGAAATTGCAGCAAGCTGAGATCACACCACTGCACTCCGGCCTAGGTGACAGAGCAAGACTGTCTCAAACTAATAATAATAAATAATCCAGAAAGAGATTACGGCTTGAACCAGCATGATAACACTGGAGGACATATTAAGTAGTCAGACTTGGAATGTATTTTGAAAATAGAGCCAACAGAATTTGCTAATAC